CTGATAGAGATGATAAATAATATTCTTGATATTTTTGGTATAGAGATGCAAAGTAAAAAGTAAAAGCAAAGTAAAAGCAAAGCAATAATAAAGTGATGGAGATTGATATGATGAGAAAGAGACCCGGAGGCCATAGGTTTCACTAGTGGCTTCTCTCAAGAGCATAAGTATTCTACGGTGGGTGAACAAATTACTGTTGAGCAATTGAAAGAATTGAGCATAGTTATGAGAATATCTAGGTATGATCATGTATATAGGCATCACGTCCGAGACAAGTAGACCGACTCCTGCTTGCATCTACTACTATTACTCCACTCATCGACCGCTATCCAGCATGCATCTAGAGTATTAAGTTAAAAATAGAGTAACGCCTTAAGCAAGATGACATGATGTAGAGGGATAGTTTCATGCAATATGATAAAAACCCCATCTTGTTATTCTCGATGGCAACGATACAATACGTGCCTTGCTGCCCCTTCTGTCACTGGGAAAGGACACCACAAGATCGAACCCAAAGCTAAGCACTTCTCCCATGGCAAGAACAACCAATCTAGTAGGCCAAACCAAACTGATAATTCGAAGAGACTTGCAAAGATAACCGATCATACATAAAAGAATTCAGAGAAGATTCAAATATTGTTCTTAGATAAACTTGATCATAAACCCACAATTCATCAGTCTCAACAAACACACCGCAAAAGAAGATTACATCGAATAGATCTCCACAAGAGAGGGGGAGAACTTTGTATTGAGATCCAAAAAGAGAGAAGAAGCCATCTAGCTAATAACTATGGACCCTTAGGTCTGAAGTAAACTACTCACACTTTATCGGAGAGGCTTGGATGATGATGTAGAAGCCCTCCGTGATCGATGCCCCTTCGGCAGAGCTCCGGAACAGGCCCCAAGATGGGATCTCGTGGATACAGAAAGTTGCGGCGGTGGAATTAGGTTTTTGGCTCCGTATCTGATCGTTTGGGGGTATATGGATATATATATATATATATATATATATATATATATATATATATATATATATATATATATAGGAGGAAGGAGTACGTCGGTGGAGCTTCGAGGGGCCCACGAGGCAGGGGGCGCGCCCTCCACCCTCGTGGCCGCCTCGTGGCTTTTTTGACGGAGGGTCCAAGTCTCCTGGGTCTTATCTGATGAGAAAATCGCGTTCCCGAAGGTTTCATTCCGTCTGGACTCCGTTTGATATTCTGTTTCTCCGAAACACTGAAATAGGCAAAAAACAACAATTCTGGGCTGGGCCTCCGGTTAATAGGTTAGTCCCAAAAATAATATAAAAGTGGAAAATAAAGCCCAATATAGTCCAAAACAGTAGATATAGCATGGAGCAATAAAAAATTATAGATACGTTGGAGACGTATCATAGATCTTCATGGATAGGTGATCTCCCAGCCCTTTACAAACTTCTTGACTTCTTCACAAACTTGAGATGTCCAATCACCTATCTGATCTAGGAGGCGCACACCCTCCAAAGTAACTAGATAGGTTGCTTGGTGACGAAGCCCTTGCTCGGGTGATCCAAAAGATAATCTCCTGAACACTCAAACTCTCTCAAGATTTGGCTTTTGTATTAGAGAAGTTGGAGTGGGAAGCAAGAGGGGGTTAGATCTCAATGGACTGGCTTGGATGGTTGGTGTAGAAAGCCCATTGAAATCAGCATACGGGGGTGGAGTTCTCTCTCAAAACATATAATGGGAGTGGAGTTTGTTTCGAATGAACTGGTGGGACAGGTGGGGATATAAATAGGAGGGACCTGAAATCTAACTATTGCCAACTTTATTCCACACCCCAGAAGCTCGGAGTGAATAGAAGAGGAACTTTCAAATGACTCGGACGATCCAACCAAAGAGCATCCAGAGGCTTCGAAGGATCCCTTCAGCAATGGACACTCTTTGTTGTTGCTTCGGAGATTCCTACTAGATGGCTTGAGAATTCTAGCATCACAATAGAAGGTTTGCCATACACTGCAGTGATTCGGAGTGGAATGCTTGGATGCTCCAAATGGATAGGGTTTATGCAATAACTATATATGGTGAATTGTTCAATGATTCTGACTTGAATAGTTTGGATGCTCCGAAGTGTGAAAGCATAGGTAGATATAGGGAGGACAATCAAGGGTACTGAGGTCTTTGGAGTTTGATCTTTAAACGCATGGAGAAAGAAACTCATCGCAATATTCTCCCCCTTTGGATAGTATCGACATGCCTACTCAATGTGATCTTGGACCACTACCATGAAAAGTAGGAATTATTTGGCTTGACCAACACTAGTCTTCATGTAAGATTAAATATTTTGGATTTGAGATTACATGATGCATGCCTAGTATAACTTGCAGATACATGTATTGACATTTGGCGTAGTCTATGCATAAAAGGTAGAACGATAGTATCATAAGGTGTTGTCATTGAATAATTTCTGGGACTTTTCATGGCACATTGAGGTGGTTGAATAGATTAAGATTGGAAATAAGACTTTGAAGTGGTTTGATATTTAGCGTACCTAAGAGATTTCATCCTACTTTCTACAATAAAAGTGGAAAATTTTGGAGTACATTCCTTGATACACTTTTTGAGGGCATATCATGATGTTTAACTATGTTAATGATATAGATAGTTGACATTAGTGAAAGTATGAACCCTTGGCCTTGCTTCCAAGCATTAAAACACCATTCTTATTTACCTTTATTACTAGTTACTTAATTGTTAGTATTTGTTCGGATTACAAAATGGCTATTTCTACTATCCATATATATTACACATATAGCATCATCTCTTTGCCAATATAGTGCATCTATACAATTAACAACTGTGTTGGGTGTGTTGGGGACACAAGGGACCACTTTTATTTGATTGCAGGGTTGTTTGAGAGAGACCAATTTTACCCTACACCTCCAAGTATTGATAAACCTTAGGTCATCCATTGGAAATTCACTGTTGTTCTACAAAACTCTGCGCTTTGAGGCCAGACAAAGTTTACAAGAATAAAGCTGTGTATTAGACATTATGTATCACAATAGATTTGTCTATTGTTTGTTTCTCATACTTAGGCACTTCAGTTAACCGGGATCCTGAAGATCAATCAAGGTGGACATAAAGTGCTGGGATGAGTGCAAGCCTATGCCAAAGTTTGGTGACGATAAGGATGAATATGGTAGCTGAAACCAAAATGTGACGTGTAGTCGTTAAACACCCAATGATTTGGTTTGAAGACATCCTTCATAATCGAGGTAACCCCACACGATGGTAAGGGCCTTGGTTGGATAATAGAATCATGATGCAGGTTGTTGATCAGTTACGACGTTATTAAGATGCATTCCCCATATATAAACATTGACAACACATAGTAGCGGTGTCTACCAAGACCATGTTAAATATTTAGATGAAATATCAAGTGTAAGTATACGGCTACAAGTAAGACCTTAGCCCTGACCTATCTTCCTATGATTGTTTTCTCTCTAAAAACTGTGCGATTATGGTCCAGGAAACTTGACCTCTTTACGACGACAAAATCTTGCAAAAATCACATTTCAATTAGCATCCTCACCTGGTGTCACCTTTGAAAAAAGACACGGACTATCTACATCCGCAACAGATCAAAGGTAATCATGCATGTTCTTAAAAAACAGCTAATTCTAACTTCAATTTGCACGTGCATTTTACTACTAATAATCTTTTATGTCAATATGTGTTTTTATTCCTATATATTCCAAAACTAAATTGTAATGGCGCTCTTTTCTGACTGTATGAACAAATCGTTAGACCAAGAGACTCAATATACGCAAAGGATGTACTACGTTAATGCTAGAGATCGCGAATGTGATTTTTTTCTAGGAATCGGTTTCTACCAGTCCTCGTAGCCAATCAAAGTTTGCCACATGCTCACGCATCCCTATACCATACTGGAATATTCAGTCCATTTTCCTTATTTTCTCTGTTCTTTTGCTGTGACCCATCCACCGTTTTGGGGCAGACAGTTATGGTACTCAATCTATTCTATTCTTTCACCCTGGATCTATTGACACATGCCTTTAGGTTGATTCTAAACTGTGTAACACTATCTTTTACACAACGATACAATTTACAACCCGTTTACTTATTAGTGTTCATGACATTTAAACACGTTTTGAAAAGTTCAAATTCAAGTTGGAAAACAACATTAGAAATTATATGAAATCTGAAATGAAGCAGTAATGAAACCTAGAATAAATTATTATGGAAACACGTAGAAGTGTGTAAACATTTTTTTAATACGGTACTATCAAAAATGCTCACATACACGCACAAAACAACATTGAAAACATGTAAAATTAGGATGACATATACATATAAAACTACAACAAAAATGTTTTAAAAAAATGCATTTTTGGAACCGAGGCAAAACCCTGAGAAAAATTAAACCAAATAATATGAAAACTTATTTCGAAGAAATATATAATAGAAATGAACTTGTAAGAAACAAGGAAAACATGATAAATTAGTAGAACATAAAAATTCGAATGAAATGAGTCAAAATGATAATTTAGTTTCATTATAGTTTCACAATTTGGATTTTTTTTTAAATGTGTCTAAGATTGATTTTTGAACATCACAATCCAAATGGGACATAAATCAAGCATTTGGTTCAAAAGATAAAAATGGTATAAACTTTAAAATCAAATAAAAGGCGTGGGTGGGCGTGAGCTAAATTTCCTTTTGGCTCAAAACATACTCACTGCCTACTTACCATGGGACCCCCAAGCTAGCTGGCCCACACGTCATTCTTTATATTTTAAGAAGAACGTGATTCAATCCATTTCTTCTTCACCTTAAAACAAGCACAGCCATCGAAAGCGAGCACATTTACACCCTGTAATTGCCGTTGCTGAACGACAAGCAACCATTCTAAAATTAGCAAAAACCTCGCAAGGATAAATACCCTGCTCACGCCTCTCGTCTGATAATAGTAACAACATTTTCCATACCTACGCGCCAATGGCGTCCTCGTCCATGATCACCTTCGCAGCCGCCTTGTGCCTTGTGGCCGCTTCCGCCGTCGCCGTGCCGCCGGCCACCCTCCAGGAGACGTGCCAGAGCGCCGGCGAGCAGGAGGCGCTGTGCGTGCAGCTGCTGTCGTCGAGCCCGGCGGCCCAGAAGACGCCGGTGGACACGCCCGGGCTCGCCCAGGCGGCCGTGATGGCGGCGGGGTCGAACGCGACGGAGACGGCGGCGCACCTGCAACGGCTCTTCGACTCCGAAGACCTCAAGAACATGAGCCCGGAGCTCCAGCGCTGCGTCGAGGACTGCGCCGAGAGGTAGTACCCTTACCAAAGATGAAGAGCTAGCCATTACTAATCCAAGGTAGTAATCTCTGCATGCGACGTGTTTGCTCTGGCCGTTGGCAGGTACCAGTCGGCCGCGAAGTTCCTGGGCCAAGCATCGGAGAAGATGACCGCGGGCTCCTTCGACGAGGCGAGCGTGCTGATCGACGGCGCGCAGTCGGTGGTGACGCTGTGCCAGCGGTCGTGCGAGGGGGTGCCGCAGGGGGAGCTCACGGCGTGCACCAAAGGCGTCGTCGACCAACTCTGCACCATTGCCGCATCAGTCACTCGGTTGGTCGTTCAGAAGTAATTATAACATCTGGGTTCTGCGATGTATACCCACCGACATCGTTCAGCTGGTCAGTTATTTGATACTGACGGCCAGCGGCGGAGGTCCCCGTGGGCCAACAGGGATCGGTGACCACACCTTTGTTTGCGATCCTTTCATGTATATATATAGCAGAGAAATTAGTACGTGCTAGCTTTTGTGGAAACTCGAGGTCTGCCTGGCCACACATGAGCCGGGCTAAGACGACGGTTTTTGTATTTTATTTAGGGAAATACACACTTAAATGGTGGAATACTATGTGTACATGAGATTTCTGGTACAAAAATGTTACATTTGGTTTCTGTGGCTTGTGCAAAAACGCACTGTTAATTTGGTGAATAGAAGACGGCACGATGGAGAAGTGAGGAATAAATAGCAAAAAACTACCACATTAAAGGTTAAGATTATGAAAAACTATCATTTTTCTTAATTTCACAAAATGCTACCACAAATTTGATTGGTTATTCCAAAAAACCTAAGTGACCGAATGGTTAAAATTTAAGTGCGGTTATGACATCTCTAGCCCACCCGTCGGGTCCACGTGGGTTCTAGCAGACGGCGCGTGTGCTAACGGCCATCAGGGCGCAACCGTTCCGACTGGGTCAAGACGACCCGAGCCGGTTCACTCCCGCTCACTCTGTCTCCTCTCTCTCTCCCTCGATCTGGTAGACCTAAGCAATGGCGGCGACGACGAAAGCACTCGACGACGGCGACCCTATGGGGGGAGGCGGCACGGGGGGATGGGGCGGAGATTATTCGGAAGTGGATAACTGGCCGGGCGGCGGTAGCTTCGCAACGTAGCCGCCGCCACAGCCTACACTGCCGCGGCAGGAGCAGACTACACGAGAGGCACAACCTACGCCCTCTCCACCGGAGAATCAGGAGCCGTCGCTTGAGTACAAAGTGATCAGGGCTCTTGTTGCCACGGATTCGGCGGGCTGCCACCGCTGGGCCTCTAGATTGAAGGCGTTGAGTAAGTTTGTTATATTCATCTACTCCTTGACTTGAATTGAAGTAGTTGTGGATGACTGAACTTAGGTTAGTAGTTAATTCTTGAAAATTTCAGTTTACTTTGGATGCAATAGTGATTTAGATAAGTACGTAGGATTTTATACTCGGTGTAGGTGGTTTAGATAGGGAATATAGATGCAATTATGCTTGGATTAAGCAAGCATCAGCACTTCTACTCATTAGCTCTGGAATTTGACTTAGTACTGCTGGTTGACATTACTGAATTTTATAGCAACACATTTATTTAGTTAAGTTTTTATTTGACTACGCGTCAGAAAGATTTGTGAGTTAACAATTTATTTAATACATGCTAGATGATGCCATTTGGGAGATAAGACTGCATTTCTAGGGCAAAGACAACATGAAAATAAGCTTCTCTCTTTCAGGCATCACATTTCTCAATTTGATTGCACTTACTGAGACTGAAAGGTATGGGTCGGGTGACTACATGTATTAGCTGAAGGATGATGGAATTGGTATGGATGGGTTATTACTTCTGGACAGTCAAGAGGCAGTAGAGGAAATGATTGACCACTATGATGTGATAGTTCTGAATATCATACCAAGGCTAATGAAGATAGAGATGATAAATTTAATATGGGGTAGAAGAACAAGTTCCAATATGCCTCCTAGTGGAGGGGCCTGGTTTTGTGTTAAGTCTATTACAAGATGGTGTTGTTCACCCTCTTGAAGCAAATCTGAACACACAACAGAGTTGCAGTTTGAACACTGTAGAAGCTCATACTGAAGATGGGGATGCTACTGAAGAAGATGAGGATGGTGGTGAAGATGGGGATGCTTGTGGAGAAGATGAGATGGACAAATCATCTTTAGACTTTGAGATTGATAGGGATGATTATAGAGGCAAAAAGATGTCTTACAAGTCTAGAAAGAGATGTTAAGAAATTTTTGTGAACGGAGAAGAAAATTGTGTTGTAGAAGGAAGGCCAGAGTTTGAAGGGCATAGTGATGTTTCAGAGTTTTGGCAAAAGGAGAAAGAGGGTGATAGTGCATAGGAAACTGTGGTGGCACAAGGCAGGCCTTAGAAACTGAAGCCTATAAGAAGAGGAGCACTAAACCCAGGGCCTACTTCCAGAACTCACAGTGAGCCAGAGTTTTCCAAGTTTGTCTTATTCTTTCTATAGTGATCACATGTAGTCCTCTCGTTTGGAAAAAAACATACTCCCTCCGATTCAAAATAAGTGCCGTGGTTTTTGTTCAAATTTTGAACAAAAACCACAACACTTATTTTGGATGGGAGGAAGTATCACACCTTTTTTCATTTGTTCGCTTCTAGCATGTCACCTTCCATTGCATCGTACAATGCAACGGTGTTGATTTTGTAATACCGAGGTTATGTGTATGTTCGGGCGTCGAGTCAGAAAAGAGTTTAGTATAATTTTGACTCTACACCTACAAGTTTACACTGACACAATATACACATACGAATGATTTTAAACTATGAACTGTGTTATTTTAGAAAAGAGTGCTTGTCTATTTCTAAGTTGCATGTAAAATTTTCCTTCATCTTATGATGCACCGATGAACAAGCAATCACATCAATACCTAGAAAAACTAGATTTGTTAACAAGGTTCGGCAAACACCGTGGTACATCTCGAGGGAAGACTATGGACTACTTCCCATTGACACCACATCACAAACTGGTCACCGCTTGCACCGACAGATGCCACCAGCTTGAGAGTATGAAATTTAGTTTCTTATTATTTTTAGACCTGATTGAGATTTGCAAATACCACAAAATATATTGAATTTTGGAGAAAAAACATCGGCCAAATTCAAATTCTAGAGTTCGCCATTTTTGTAGCGAATTTAGTCAATACATTGGAATCTAAAACATGATCTATCCCATTAAGTCTTCAAAACTTTTAAGTATGGAAAATTGAATGAATTTTTTAAGCAAGTTACCTTTTTTCGTCCCCAACCAAAAATCATCAACTTCGTGATAGGTCATGTGCTTATGCTTTACCCTTATTTTCATAAAAGAAAAAGAAGTTTCATACTTTCATTGTGTGCATTCTGGATATCTCCAACGACTTTGATGTTGTATTGTTGGACAAGATGGACGTACTTAATACCCTTTATCCGAATGGAAATGATCCTTGCCAGCTGACAAACCGAGTTTTCAGCCAGCCACACATGCAGCGTTCGATCCCACCGTATCGTATGCCCTATTCTTTTTCTCCTACCTCTCGTTCCTTATCCATAAGAAACACTCTGTTTATACTTTGTTTGTTTCTCGTGACGCGCTGCTTTGCAGTTGCTCCCCTCCTCAATCTCCATGGGCCCGACGCTACTACTGCGGACCAACCACCGCCACCTACTGCTAGGGCGAGCCACCACGGGCAGAGAAAACGGCCATAACCAACGTCTCCTTCTTCCTCTCGCTCTGAAGCAACCCTCACCTCTAGGCACACACGAGAAGAAATGGCGCCCAGGGCCGCATGCTGCAACAACGATGGACGGGTGCATCGACCAATGGCGAGCGTTGGCGTGCAGCTTATGTAGGCAATGCTGGAACTGCCGCGTACCCTTGATGCAACTTCTGACAAAAAGCTTCATTCCTAGATGGAAAATCTTCAACCGGCTATAGATAAAGTTTCAATCAGAACAACCCATCAAGGAAAGCTACAACCGTCGACACAGGATGCTCCAACCTTAGATGAAAAAGCTTCAACCATACGATAGAGAAAGCTTTAACCAAGCATTGCTCAACGAAAAAAGTTGCAACCGTTGATAGAAAAGCTTCGACCATAGATGGAAAAAGCTCAAACCGACAAGAGAGAAAGCTGCAACTAGACACTACGCAACCAAAAATGTTACAACTAGTGACAAAGAAAGCTTCAATTTTATATGGGAAAATTTATAACCGATGACCAACGACAGGAATACTGCCACCAGTGACCGGGGGTGAGCAAGACAAAGATGCTCCATGTGTTTTTTGCTAGAATCGGTGAGATGAAAAGCTGCAGCCAGATTATCAATTTGTTGGGACTAGCGTCAGGCGACGTTGGTGAACTGCAATAATCGGGAGTTGCACCAGCGGCAGTGGCGGAGCTGCAATGGCGTGCCCCTTAATGCGGTCACACGCTATAGGTGCAGTTGCAACGGGGGTGCCCATAACACGGCAATGACGAGTGATACGTCTCCAACGTATCTATATTTTTGATTGTTCCATGCTATTATAGTATCAATCTTGGATGTTTTATATGCAATTATATATCATTTTTCGGGACTAACCTGTTAACCTAGGGCCAGGTGCCAGCTATTGTTTTTGCTTGTTTTTGGTTTTCTAGAATATTAGTACCAAACCAAGTCCAATTGCCACAAAAAAAATTTGGAGATTTTTTTTCTGGACAAAAGAGACCCTAGAAGGTTTGGGAGGTGACCAGAAGATGGAGGAGTAGCCCACAAGGCACCAGGGCGCGCCCTAGTGTGTTGTGGGAGCCACGTTCATCTATTTGACCTAATTCCGCCTCTATAAATTCTCTAAAATTGGGAAACCAACAGAGAGCCAGCCAAAACCCTATTTCTGCCGCTAGAAGTTTCTGTTCTCGAGATATCCCATACGGGCCTTTTCTAGCACTCTGCGGAGGGGGATTCAACCATGAGGGGCTCTACATCAACCTTGATGCCCTTTCGATGATGTGTGAGTAGTTTACCACAGACCTATGGATACATAGTTAGTAGCTAGATGTCTTCTTCTCTCTATCTCTCTCTTTGACCTTCAATACAATATTCTTCTCGATGTTCTTGGAGATCTATTCGATGTAATCACTTTTTGCGGTGTGTTTGTTAGGATCCGATGAATTGTGAGTTTATGATCAGATTATCTATGAATATTATTTGAGTCTTCTCTGAACTCTGTTATGCATGATTATTATAGCTTAGTATTTCTGTCCGATCTATTGATTTGGTTTGGCCAACTAGATGTATTTTTCTTGCAACGGGA